ATTCAGGACAATTTCATCATCAGCATTCCTAATAACATGGATTTGTTTATCAAATAAAGTACAAGATCAAGAGTATCAACAATACTAGGTTTCTTTGTATAAAGCATTTAGTTGTAAATATCATAATCCAAATGACTAGGTGTGCTGGTAAAAATGTAAAATGGACTGAGAGCTGTACAATGGGGGTTGCAGCTTCATCTGCACAGGTAGCAGTTACCTTCAGTAGTGGTAATTAAAAATAAAAGTGACAGCAACACAACAAAGTATTCATGTAGTTGGAATAAAGCAGTCCCACGCTCTGCACGCAAGGACAGTCTCACAGTTTTCCCCTTGCTAGGTAAAAGAAGGATTGGCTTAAGCCTCCACATGCCATGCTGGCCAGAAGTACAGTATTGCATACTTAGGGGGCCAACCAGTTTCCAAGATTGTCTAAGAATTTAAGGGATTTTACAAACCCAAAGGAAGCCCTTCTTAAACAGTACTTCCAAGCACAGGTGAGCCTTACATCAGCTTTGTGACTGGACTGCCATCAGTTTGCTTTTCACTGATGTGTTCTGCTGTTATTGAGCTCCGGCCTTCCTCCATCTGTTAGTCTACACAGCAGAAAACTTTCCTGGGACTCACCCAAGTGGTCCTTCAAAACAGGATGCCTTCAGTTCCTCAAAGGCAGGCATAGCTCTGGATATTCCTCAGTGCCTCCTCCTGACCTTTTAATCACACACACAGTTCTTTTTCTTGAAGATTTGATTGCTGTGTACAATGCTCTTTCAATGAGTGCTTATTGATAATCCCATGATTACTTTCCATCCTTCCCACTAGTTAGACAACAATATTTAATTTTTGCCTCAGGATCTTACTTGCTAGACCAGACTTACTTTTTTTTTTTTTTTTTAAAAAAAGAAGAAATAAAAGTAATGATGTCTTGCTCTGCCATCTAGGCTGGATACAGTGGCATGATCATAAAGCTTGCTGCAACCCTGAACTCAAGGGCTCAAGGGATCTTCTCGTCTCAACCTCCCTATTAGCTGGTACTATAGGTGTGTTAAGCCATGCTTGGCTAATTATTATTATTTTTGGAGAGACAGGGTCTTGCCACATTGCCTATGCTGGTCTTGAACTCATGGCTTCAAGTGATCCTCCTGTCTCAGCTTCCAAAGCACTGGGATTACCGATGTGAGCCACTGTGCCTGGTATACTTCTGTTTTTTAAAAAGTTTCCTTTCTGCCTTCTTCCTTGGCCTTCACTCATGTTTGTGGGACAACTCTCAGTGGATCTCTAGTTTCTATTTACTTGGTTGCCTGCTTTACTTATCATCCAGGCTCCCTGAATTCCACTGCCCTTGTTCGGTATGACACAAAATAATATTTCTAATCTTTCTACTGTATTAGAAAGATTTAACATGTTTAACTATTTAACATGATTAACTTCTTGAATTTCTAGTAATTGAGAATTCTAGGGATTGTGTTCCACAAAACAACTAATCACAAAGAACAGCATGTATTATTTACATTTCATAACAAAATTTATGAAGAGTTTACTTATATTGAAAAGGGTTATTTATAAAGGCCAAGTTTAAAACCCTTCATCTTTTTGGGTTTTAAATTTCTGACCATATTAGTAGGAAAAGAATCTCATTTATTGCAAACTTAATTTTGCCACAAGGATCACTAGTTGTGACATCAACGTGGCCACATCATAGTCTGAGCAGATCACCACCATCTTCTTTAGAAAAAAGTACAATTGTATAAAAATACGTTGGAAAACCAAAGGCCATATTTTTGATTTATATATTCTAACAAGTTAAAGCTGAAATATCCATATAATCTTAGAAACTCCTGTATGATAACCTCATAATAGTTAAACATATTAAGGAATAATAACTTTATATATATTTTATAAATAAATTCTTCCAAGATACACCAACACAGATTTATCAAAAGGATATTAGCATCAAATTAAACTTTATAATATTGCCCCATTGCTGGTTGCTCTGCTTAGCTGGCTGGGGTTTGTCTGGATAGCAATTAAGGCTCTCAGTTTAGAAAGCCTGATAAGGTTACCATCATTTCTAATAGCTATATTGTTTGGGCCATTGTTTTTGCCTATAGATAGTAATCCTCTTGCAAGGCTTAAACATTACTCTTCCCTTTATGCAGCCCCTAGGTCATCTTAGGTTAAATCTGTACTCATAATACTTTGTGTCACAATATCCTATGACCCAAATCTTTCTTGAAAAGCTGCAAAATCCAAGAAATAGGGGGAAATGGCAATATTATTAGTTGGCAATGGCACATATTTTCCTTTACAGAACTTTGAATTATGCCTTTTTAGCAGATTTACGATCACGCAGGGCAGTGAGTCTTGCACAGCTGTGGTTTAACCTCAAGTACTTTTGTCACATTTTGTTTTTTTTTATAAAATGTATTTCAATTCTGACATTTAGAAGATTGCAGCTTTGAAGAATTTGTGTGGACCTTCTGCAAGCATTTTATTTTGCTAATGAACTAAAATTGATCTCTGTAATTGAAAGATAATGATACTATTTGAGTGTAATGACTAAATACCAAGTGAAATTTTGCACAGATGAAATTCTACACAACCCTGGATATAATATGACTGCTTCATCTTAATTGTGAAATCACATTCTGTAGCTTCTCTAAGTTGTTTAATTACTAAAGTATAATAATAGATGAAATGAGCAGTGGAAAGAATGATGGACTGGACGGACGTCTGCAGACTTGAGTTCCAAACTGGATATGTAAAACCTTGAGCAAGTCCCTTAATTTCCTTGGGACTCAGTTTTTACCTATAGACTTGGTAGAACAAGGTTATTTAAGGTCTCTTGCAGCTCTTCCATCTTTATGAATCTGAATCCCACCAAATTGATTTTTCATAGTCAGTAAAAAATCTGAACAAAGCTGAACTGTGAAATTTTTGACAAGCATTAACAGGATTGAATGTGTTTTAGACACTCAGTGTTCTGCAGGAGAAAAGAACAGTTAAGAACTAACCCCACCCTTAACCCACCCTATACATAACTGGTGTTTCTTTAAATTGGAAACACTGTGATTTCCAGTTACTCAAAACTGGTTTTGTACATCTTGTGGTAAGGACAGATAGAGAATCCTCCAACCTATAATTTCACAGGGCATGTTGTACTTTATCAACAGTAATGAACAGTGGCTTGGGTGGGGGATCTGGAGCAGTTTGGGTGGTGTATTGTCAGGACTATACTAGATTTATCTTTGATACACGGTCACAAACCTTACTGAAATTTTTCTTTCCCTGGGGAGTTAAAAAATAAGAGATGCAGAAATACCAAACTGCCAGCAATACTAGGGCACCTGCTTTATTAAATTTTTCCCAGGGAGGTTCATTATTAAGCTCTGAAATAATAAGATCTTACTACAAATGGCAAATGAGGACTTGTACTCTCTTTATTTGTAATATGCATATTTTACTAATTTCTTACTGAAACCAAACTTACGGATCGACATACACACACAAATATACTTCTTTGTAGAATTTTGTGGGTGGACCCAGATTATTAAATTGCACAGAGAATGTTCACATTCTCCTTGAAACAAAGATTAATAAAGGTTCTTACATACCATTTGTGTTGCCTTTGCATTTCTAGATTCTATGTAAGATACCTGTCAGGAAAATATCAGAGAGGATTTTAGAAACAGGTAAAACAGAGTTGCTTAATATACCAGAAAATATCTAGCTTTATTTTACTGAGGGATAAAAATAGTTTATGCACATACATTTGAAATGAAAAGGTATAAATAAAAATGCAGTTGTAGAACAGATAACCTGAATTAATAGATTATAACTTATTTGCTTTAGTACTTATAGGAGGCTAGCTTTTAGCCATTGACATTAATAATACGCTTTTTTTGCAGGAAACCTCTGAGTTACAATATTTGATCACACTTAACACTTTTTTTTTTAAAGGACAGAATTTAGTTTTTTTTTTCTTTTTTAAAAAATAAATAGTATTCTACCGTCGTGAAAAAAGAATCACGTTATCACAGGCTTTCGTTCTGAATAAACTAATTCTCTGTTTGCCGCACATGATTTTTTTAAAATGATGATTGAAACACTAAGTAATTCAGTTTAATTTACAGAGAGCAAAATACATTTTTGCTATAATTCAGAAATGTCAAGCCATTCAAGGGTTTTGGTAGACAGAACCTGAAAAAGAAAGGAGAAAGGAAGCAATTAGGGTGGCAAAAGATGTTGGGATTAGGGATCTATTAATGGAGGGGCCTACAGGAAATAACAGTGAACACAAAATGTTGGTTTAGGCATGAAGTAAGCCCAGGAACACACTGGATGCACCTGCAATCACAACAAAACCTATGTTAGTTTTTCCGGGATTTGGTTGATTTATCTGAAAAACAGGGATAATCGTAGAAAAGTAGCATAAGGCAAAAGCACAGTAAAATAAGCTAGGAAGCCATTTAGATTTGAAAATTGTTTTTAAATGAAAAGGTTATTTTCTGTGGAAGTTTAAATAATATACTGAATCAGTTTTTAATGTAATAACTTAGCAAAAAAAAGAAAAAAACCCTCAAAAGAAGGATGTTATTTATGAGAAGGCAGCCTTAATGTTTGGAAAAATGCTGTTTAATTTATGGCATCAATTGAGACCAAGCCCATAATATGAAATCAAATTTTTTCAGAAAACTGACAAAAGATAATTTACCTTGAATTCTTATGTAAAAGGAAGTAATTATATTGTATTTCCATAAAAAAGGGAGGAAAAAAACACAAGAACATCAAGGTTTATGTATATAATTAAAATATTTTTTAACCATCAGTCACTTTCATTTTCCAAACTGATACTATTAAAAAAATATTTTTTTAAAAACTGTATATTTGTATTTTGATGATTATCTTCATCACAGTCATTCTTCAAACCAGGAAAAAATGAAATTATATTTATAACAATGCAGCCAGACTGCTGAACAGGTTTGTTGAATTCTGTGTTGCAGGCTTAAGAACCAGCACTGTCCTGGTGAAATTCCTCTTGAACATGCTCCTGTTCTTCTGAGTCGGTGCTTCAGGCACAGATGAGCTCAGGTTCGCTTACACAAGGGTCTTTCTTTCCGGCTTCTAGTGCGTAAATTCGTTAATATTGTATAGGTAATGATGAGTTGTACCTTGATTAAGTCTATGAATGCTATTCTATTTTAGAGACCAAAAAGGTAATCTACGTTGTCTAAATATTGGCTAGTGGGGGAAGGCACCAGAGGACAAAGCCATCTTTCCTAGATTTGACTTTTAACTACATTCTGTTATGATTTAGAAAAGCTGAAGCTTAGACATTTTTTTATTTTTAGTGCCCCAAAATGCCTTAATTGGGGTGCATTTTTTGTTATTGTTACTTTCCTGCAAACTTCTGGACTTTTTTTTTTTTTTTGAGATGGAGTCTTGCTCTGTTGCCCAGGCTGGAATACAATGGCACCGTCTCAGCTCAGTGCAACCTCTGCCTCCTGGGTTCTAGCGATTCTTCTGCCTCAGCCTCCTGAGTAGCTAGGATTACAGGCACCTGCATTATTCCTGGCTAATTTTTGTATTTTTTTAGAGACAGGGTTTCACCCTATTGGCCAGGAACCCCTGACCTCAGGTGATCTGCCTGCCCCGGCCTCTCAAATTGCTGGGATAGTAGGCATGAGCAACTGCACCAGACCCAGACTTTTTGCACTGTATTACCCAAACCCTTTATTAGAGAGATGACAACAAAGTAATGTGGCAAGTATTAACTTGAGTTTGCTTTCTTCATCAAGAGAAAAGCTATTAGAAAAAAATGTCAGCAGTTTTTTCAAAAGCTGTTTTGGAAACCGATGGAACTCAAACTGTGGTCCCTGGACCAGCAAGCATAACATTGCCTAGAACTTGTTAACAATGCAAATCGGTAGGCCCTACTGCAGCCCTACAGAATCAGGAGCCCTGAAAATGTGCTCAGCAATCTGTGTTTTTACAAGCCCTCTGGGCTTGTCAGCTCAAGTTTGGGAAAGGACGTCTAGAGAGCAGGGTTCTTGTTTCAGTTCTGCCATTTTCTAACTACTAGAGCTTGGTAAATTTGCTTAACTTTTCGGAACCTTTGGTTCTCCCATCTATAAAATGAGAGATGATCAACAATGGCTCTTCCAGTTCTAACATTCTGTAAATCTGGGATCTTAATTACTTGGTGAAAAAAAATTCATTAGGGAAAAGCAATGCCTTGACATCTGGCTACAGTGATAAATCTGATATTGCTCAGTTATATACAACTTCTACATGTTTAATGTACAGTACAGTGATCCTTCTCAATTCTCATTAGTTTTGTGTCTTTTTTGTAGCAGTTACTGTAAAATAAAATGAGCCTGCTAAATAAGTCAAGACCGCTTCAATTGCAAGTAAGTAGAATAGATTACAATGGCCTTACTTTTAATTGCTGAAGATGATACAACGCATCAATGATATTATAAAATGTAATTCAGAAGTACACAGCTTTCATTAGAAGGCCTTTCTCCCAAATTCATCGTAAGCTGAAATAATGCTCAGAGAGTACATAATTAAGTCTATAAGCAATAATAGAGTGATGCGACTCTTTTTTACATTCAGTAACATATTAAAGCTAAAAATGATAAACATAAATTTTTATAAAGATCTGCTACAGCACACTTCTAGTACTCTAATGGAGATTAGTTGGCTCAAATAGCCAAAGGGCAAATCTTTTACTTTAAGATTTTCTATTCTCCTAAAATTAACTTTCAAAATGCAACATGTTTTTCAGTTTATTCAGAGGTATATTACATGGTTTGGCAAGCTAAAGCTTTTACTGAAAAATGTTATATGTGTGTTTTTGTAAGTATTAGATGTAACATGAATATTTAGATCATATACACTGGGATGCAGGTTTACCCTAAGAGGCTATGAACCCTGGGTACTGAGAAGTGCAGTTGTTGACATCTTGTATATTTTTGTAATGTTAACACTGAAGACAAATTAACCATCTTCACCCCATTTGTGTACTAATCTGAGTCATTAAATATTTTTAAAATGACAATTTTTAAAAGGCACATTAGTGATAAATCTGCTTTTACTAACTTGAAGTAATTGGACAGAGATTCCAGATGTTAAAGAGAAAAATACACGTGCAACACAGCACACACATGCGACCTGGGTATGATATGACTTTCTTGTCTGGGTTTGTTCATAATTTCATTCAATAGAGTTGAATACAATATACAGTTGGTTGCTTTGTTTAAAAGGCTCTAGCTGTGTATATACTTTTTTCTTATGCAATAGAATGCTAGCAATTGTTTATGATATTGTGGAAGCAATATGGATATGATAGTTTTTATTATTTTTGTAGATTATATTCTTGGTATATATAAATCAGACAATTATTTTAAAAAATATTTGCAAGTGAGGTCTTGAAGAAGCTTCATATAAAACTATATAATGTATTTCAATTGAGGGTGACTCCAGCATTTTGAAGACAGTATCATGTACTGTCACTTATAATAAATAATTGCAAATTGTTTTCTTTTGTCTTTAGGTGGACACCAATATTCTTTGCCTCAAAACCTGTTAAAAATATAAAAAGAAGACAATAAATGGCTGGGTTTTCTTTTAGAGTGGCAATGTCATTTGTCCAGAAGGGGGAGCTCTCAGTCCGCATGCAGCAGAGCAAGGCAGACAGTCTGGTATCTTATCTGCTGCTTGGGAAATTGTCTGACAGGAAAATATCAACACAAACCATGCGATTTGCCGCTGTAGCACGCTGGACCTCATCTGCTTAAAAAGATGCACGGATATAGTCATCACAGTTCATAATTTAATAAACTGCTAAAAAAACCACACATTTTCATTTTAGCGACTTTGGTCTCACAACTAAATTCACATTGCTACAAAGACATTTGAATTTTGCACTAATATGTCATAAGCACTGCACCCATTGCAAATTAATGAGTCTCTGAATAGCACTGTGCATTTGTCATTTGAATTTATGCTAATGCAATGAGGTCTCCTGGTGATGCTGATAGTCCATAGCAGCTGCTCGAACCACAGAATATACCGGCACTTCTCTTCTACTTTATATTGCTACCTCCTTTTTTGGCTTTTCTGGCCTGTCACTTAGGCAGCAATTCTGTAGCTGGTTATTGATAGGGCTGCTAATTATCTTTGACTTTACACTATTGGCATGACCCCCAACACTGAGCAGAAGTAATGGATCAGTGTTGAGAGAATTATGTACATCACATAGCTACAGTCTCAGACCAGGAGGTCAGAAGGAGTTCATTGAGAACCAATGGTATTTACAAGGGATGTTAATATGGAAATTGGCAATATTTTTTCAGTGATATTGTGTCATTTATATCAATTAATCAGTCTAAGAAAGTGACTGTAATTTTTGCAATCATAATGAATGGCATTTATATGTGTGCGCAAAAATAGAAGGGGGTCCTCTTATTTTTTTTCTTTTCTATTCACACTGCAATCTGAAAAAATGATCATTAGGGGTGTGGAGTCTTCAGTATGGTTGTGGAAACTGCCTGTTGGTCAAAGAGATGTGGTAATAATTGAATCTAGTGGTGGGATTTTTGGAGTGAGGGGAGGGAGAAGAACAAATAACTGTTTTTATGGGACAAGTTCATGACAAAGAGGTCCCATTGTCTGTTGTTGTTTTCTTTCCCAAGTCTTAATTGTGAAGTTAACATTTTTTTCTTAGACTAGTGCTTCCATTTGACATACTTCTAGAAGTAAGAATGAAGGTATGTAAAATTTATCATAATGGATTCAGGAAATCGGTTTGGATGTTTAGAAATATGGAAAATATTAAGCAGAAAATTAAAAGCTAAAAACAAAAGTATACATCTAGATTATACATCTTACAAAAATTGTTACTGATTTTAAGAAATGCTTTTTCACCTAGGGCCAAATACTTTTTTTCAAATAAAAAAAATTTAAAAAGAGATAAACAGATATACACTCTGGTTAAATGTAGCATGGTTAGCGTTAATTTCCCAGGTTGTAAATGAAGCAGAGACAAGAAAGAGTCAATTCCTGAAATATTCTGAGGAGAAAAACACATTCCAAGGCTGATGTGTGTAATTGTTAGTGATGTCAGGAAGTACAGAGTGTAAAAGTCAAAGTGACCTGTTTATCTCCTGTAGTGCCCAAGAGCAAAAAGACTCCTTTCTGAACAATAAAACTCACAAAAGAAAGAGGATTTTTATCCTGACTCTACAGCCTAGTGAGCTGCTTCAGAGCACAAGCAGAAGATGCAAACATTCCTTTTCATCTCTACCCGTTGACCTCAACCTAAGGGATAAAGGGCCACTCGAGAGAAAGAAACTTGACTGAGAACGCAGGAAATAGATTCTTTACTACAGCTTCTCCGTTTTCCATCAAGGAGAGGAGACGTTTTCACTCTTCTTGGAAAAACTTTGAAATGTAAACTGTTTCGATTGATGGCTCCTTCTGGCCCTGGCAACTCTTTTTGGTAGCTGGTGCTCTTTCTGTAATACTTGTTAAAAACGACTCCGTAGCAAAGATGTTGTTTTTTATATGATTTTTTTTTAAGTCGGTGCATGTGTGCGTACAGACAGGCTCTCATCTTGCACGGCGGAGACTGGCAGGTGAACACCTACTCCTGTTGCCCTTATTCATTTGCAATACTTTATAAGATTAGTCTCTTTGAAAGCTGTTTTCAGTCTAAACTGTCAATCCTCTTCGAATGTGGTCCCTTTCACTGTGAATGACTTCTTAGAAATTGTGAGAACACTGTGGCCTGAAAGTCCCTTCGTAGCCCAGAGAGCCCTCCATGTATCACTGACAACCTGCCCCTAAACTTTCTACAGTAAGGTTGCCTGGGGACAGCTATAAAGAACCAGATATGCAGCTAACGTATCACATGTTTAGAGCAGTCTTTAAGTACACAATTTCTGCCACGACCCACATGATTTTAATCATTTTATCTTGGGGTAGAAATTTCATTTTCATTCAGTTATCTATGAAATGACTGTGTGTACATGATTTTTAATATCCTTGTAGTATTCTTAAGCTACACCCATATGGAAAGAATTAAGGTGGTGAAATTGATCAATCTGCTTAAACTGATTGATTCAATCATCAAATCAGTCAAACTGCATAAGCCAGTGTGAAAAATACCCATTTTAGTCTAAATGTTGATTGCTTATACTGATCTGCTAGACTTACTGTGGTTAAATTATTTCTTTGTTCTGTGCTAGTCAGGTTCATGAGTTACTTATTTTTCGTTGCCTGATCATTATGCTACTCTTCTGTTTTGCTACTGTTGCTTTCCTGAAGGGGTGTGCTCCCTTGTGTGCACCACCAGGAGGAAAGCTCCTTGGTGACCTCTTTCCCAGTGAAGCCACCTTCTCCACTCTGAGTTCTCCTGTATCCATTCACAGCACATTCTGAGATAGTGAGGCTGCAAATCAATAGAGATTTGACTTATTAAGTGTTAAGTCAGGCACTGATTAAGTGTATGAACTTAAGTTCAAGAAGTCACACTGGCTGTACTCCTCTTCAGCCAAATGACTGCTCAGGTGCTTAGAGGTGCTTCTTTCCCTCCATTCCTATCTATCTATCTATCTATCTATCTATCTATCTAATCTATCTATCTATATATATACACACACACACACAAGCACATATATACACATTCTCTTATAATATATATTCTCATATATATGTGTGTATATATATATATAATGGAGTGTGTATTATGTATATATATGCGCATATATACACATATACACACTCTCTCATATATATGCACATATATATACATATAATGTGTATATATGTATATATGTGTGTGTATATACATCTACATACACAAAGTTAGACTAGAATTATGATACTCTGTTATTTTTAGTTTTTAAAATTACAGATAAACAAGAAACACTTGCGTAAAGTTAATCAAAGAAGATTCTCAACACATGTTCAAATTATTCACTGAAATATAGGTAAAGTTAATCCCCCCTAAGTCAATATGAATTATTTAATTTCCCTTTGTGGCACTAAAAATTTAAGTAACGATTGATTTTATTTTATCTTAACATTTAAGTCCACATGTTCTTGGTGCACTGTGAATCCTGTGAAGCCTTCCACAAAGGTCTCTGCCTTCAAGACACTTGCAATCAAGTATGAAAACAAGATCAGAAATAATATGAGCAATTAATATAATAATACAGAACTATAAAAAGTTTAAAGTAAAATTTTTTTTGTATTAAAGTGAAAAGGACTAGATAGTATTTATAGAACTTTCAGAACTATATTCTTGATTTCTTACATATAATTCTTATATTTTTTTTCCAGAATACATGTAAAACATTTAAATCAGAAAGTAAATAACAGAATGGTTTGC